CTATAGCATCAATTGGACCTGGTTATATAGGTTGGATCTGCTAGGATTTCATTCGTGTATGAGCTGTCGACTTCTAATTGATATCGTGCAGTTGATTGTGTTAATTTTGGGAGTACCAACATTTTCACCTCAAGTGAAATGTTGCTCGGAAAGCGTGGCTTAATGCGGAGATCTACTGCCGAGGAGCAAACTTGTGGGCTACCATCTCCTACGCCTGAAATTTCTGCTCTGATTTTCTGATGTGGAAGATTAAGACGTTGGGCTGCGTCTTCTTTTATAAACGCAGGTTGTGATCCTTGGTCAATGAGGACACGAAAATATTGGGAGGTGCTAGCTGTTGCTACTTCTACTAATGCTGTGGCAAGCAGAACATTCTCTCCGTGGTCTTTTACGTGATAGTTTGACGTATTTTGTCTTTGTTTATTTCTCCTGAAGTTGTTGAATGTTTGGCTATTTTCATTTTGATTTGAGGTTCTTTGATCAGTTCTTCTTGATGTCTGATATCCTGAGTTGTTGAAGTTTCGTTGATTGTTTTCATTATGTAGGATTGTATGATGATGCTTTCTGCAGATATTGCAAGCTACACTGCTGCGATATCTTATATGTTTTTCGTGGTTGAGACAGTTCACGCAAAGGTTTATTTTCTGAACATAACGATTTCTTTCTTCTACCGACAATCTTCTAAAGGCTTGGCAGTGATATATCGCATGATCTTTCTCGCAATATTGGCAAGCTGAATTGTTTCTTCAACTTAGGCTTGTTGCTTCGAGATATTGAAATGTTCTTTCAAGAAATTCCATGAATTGTTGGTAGTCTTGAATTTTGTGTGGTTCTGTTAGTGTTTGTCCATACATCTTGTTGGTTTCGGAATCCCATTTCCGAATGATTATTCTAATAATGATTGGACCCCATGACTGTATGCTTACTCCTATATTTTCTAAGTCATGAGTACATTGTTTGGTGATGTCATGCAAGAGATTTAATTTTTCAACGTTTCCGGTGGAAAGGTTTGGGAGGTCTAATAACTTGTCTATCAGTTTCGAGGCGTTTATTTCCATATCTATTCTGAAGTCCCAGGCTGTCTCGTAGTTGTTTTCAGTGGTTGTCAGATGCTGAATGAGTCGTGCAGCTTCTCCTCGAACATGTGTTTTGAGCAGTTGTATCTTCTCTGCCTTGGAAAAATGTATGTTGTCGTGAACTACTCGCAAAGAACATCATGGAAAGAGCCCCAGTTCTCGTAGCATCCGTGAAATGTTGGTATGATTATTTGTGGTGACGCAAGATGTCTTACAGGCCAGATTGATTGAGTTTGGTAGTTGCTGCTGACATGAAGCTTCTGCCTCGATTGTTTCCATTGATAATTTTTCCAACGTGTCTTCATACTTCATCTGATACTCATGAAACTTATTATTCCTGAAGTGAGCACTGGTGAATAATTTTTCATGAATTATTATCTCTTCGTGCAATTCTTGAATAGCTTCCCATTGTTTTACCAGCTTTTTCTGTTGTAATTCATACCGTATTTTTGATTTTGATTCAGTTAGATCTTGGTTGATTTGGTCGATTGTTCTATCCAATTCCTCATACTTAAGATTTTGTTTCTTCAAAAGTGGGAGTTGTGGATTATTTTGTAATTCATCATTGATCGTTTCAAGGTACTACTTGCAAGTCTCATACCTCTCTTTTATTTGTTGTAGGTATTTTTTAGTAAAGTAGGCGTGGTTTGGTTCATTGAACTTGTTTAGTTCCTGATCATTTTCTTGATCTGCATCCCATGGATCTTCTAGTAATCCAAGTTTGTTCTGTATACTGTTCGGTTTTTCTTGATTGGCCATCTTTCTTACAGTTGGTGTAAAGCTGCATGATCTTTTTGCCTAGTTCTGCTTGCTGAGCAGCACGTGAGTTCATTTCTTCCGCCATTGTTCTGTTGATCTTGCAATGGGCTTAGTTGGACCTCTGGAACCACTGTTGGTGGGACCTCTGGAACCGTGGCTGATAGCTACTAATCTTGGTTGACTTGTGGATCGCTACCGGTGGGACTCTAGGAATCTGGTTGATGGCTGCTTGGTTTGGTTGAACCTCTGGGACCGCTGTTGGTGGGACCTCTGGGACTCTGGTTAATGGCTGCTTGGTTTGGTTCGACCTCTGGATCCGCTGTTGGTGCTCTTTGCATAAGACTTGCTACTGTGGTCGAATATTTTCCGGTTGCAGCAATCACTATGTCGTTTGCTTATGCTTGGGTGTAGGTAGAAGCCTTATGGTTCTCCAGTTCTCTTACAAGACCCTTCACAAGTACATTCCACAGGAGAGGAGACATATTATCTCTGTTTGGCCGATGTCATCGTTCTAGTATATTTAAAGGGCCAAGTATTTAATAATTGCTTAATGCTTGCTTCATATAATGACGTGGAGCGGGGACACTAACAAAATCGACAAATTACAAATTACAACGGAAAGATCAACGACAAGAATACCCATTCAAGATAGAATTCCAAACCATGAATATGCCAACATACGAAATGCTGTGGAACCGATTAAGTGCCTAAAGTTGACTAGGCGGGACATTCCGCCAGAATTAAGGATACCTAATAGGTAAAGGAGATTATAGACTGACAAAAAGCAGACGCATTTAGAACTAGAGGAAGACGGATGACCCTCCCCTCCCCTTGTTGGACGGAAGACATAAAGAGAATGGCAGGTAACTGCGAGAGTGGAAAAGTTTGAAACAAGCTTTTTGCAGCACTGCATAAGATGAGCTGACGCAAATGAATTAGACTTCTTTGTGTCATCATCTTTTACATTTTCTTCTGAAATGTTCACCATCTTTTGCAAACCTATTATCTGTTTGAGGAGATGTTGAAGTCGAATGAATTGATGAATTTTCCCCATATTTATTTCTATTTTCTATTTGTGGGTAATGATTTATGATATATCTATTTTGAAATACTTGTGCTGAATACTTATGATAATGACAGACCGTCACGGAACGTCTACCCAATGCAACTTTTGGTAGCCTATTCTATCATATCTTGCACCGCGTTGTTACTAGATACAAAAAGGTCCATCAAAATAAAGGATCGTAAATTTTGAACATCATCAGCAGTTACTTTTCTGTCCGAGAGACCACTGAATATATTACTTAGTGCTTTGCTAGTAAAATCGAACTGCTAAAGTCATCTTCTGTTAGAAAATAGAGAAACTCTTTGTTTAGTTATATTGCTAATTCCAAAAGGTGACAGTTTGCTTTCTTCTAGCTGCAAGCATTACGGTTCTCCCATCTCTCCATCTTTATCGAGTTTATTGGTTTTTCGCTCTCTTTCAATAATATTTCCACCATCATCATTGAAAGTTTTGTTAAAGTCTTTGTTAGTGTTTTTGTGTGTACCTACAGTACAGAGTCTCAACAGCGAACTGAATGTTATATGTTTATGAAATCACCACCAGCCTTGCAACTCCATAAGCAACGACAACTCGATGCAGACGGCAACTCAAACCTCGACTTTAAGCATCCATATATTTGGTGTGATTAGGTTGCCGATATGTTATAGATAAGGCTTGGTGCTTCCTAATGATCGAAATTTAGACAGAAATTCTCAATGAAGCTCACTGAATATGACCAAGCAATTTCAATAGATTTATGTTTTCTATTTTATAAATTCTTGAATTTGATTGCTCCTCTCGACGTTCTTGATTGCTGCATATGCGAAATCTGAATCGTCCAGGTATGAAATTTTTAATTTCAAAAAAAGATGCTCACATGCAAAAAGTTAATACGGTTTTCACTCACTTCCATTCTTACCTACTAATAAATTTCTATCGAACATGCATGTGAAATGTAACTCTTTGTAATGTAATCTCTTTAAACATTTCAAAACCTAAGCTGCAAGCACCGGTGCATGAGAGTATATTGACCCATTTACCTGAAGAGCCCCTTCTACAGTGCAGATAGAAATCGATACATTGTAGCTAAATTATTTTTCCCTGATTAATAAAAGGGAAAGATAATCTCAACGTTTTACTGATATGTAGTTTTAATAAGATCTTGAATACTTCTCTTTAGATTAGAAGAGGCTCTGGATGATAAAATACAAAAAAATATCTAGGAAAGTTTGAAAGTCGATCAAATTTAATTCATAATTACCTACTTAAAAAACTGAAAAAATTATGTTTTTTTCTCAATTCCATTGGCTGCACTTAGGCATTTATTAATAGTTATTTATACACCAAGTGAGTTAAATGAATGTTTATTCATGAGAAAAAAGTTTAACCCACGAGCCCTAGCGAGTGGGTTAATTTTCTTCAAATGAATAAACATTTTAACTCACGTGATGTATACAAAATTTTATCCCATTTTGTGGAAATTTGAAAAATAAAGTACAAGGAAAAATGCCGGAAGTGAGTTAAAAATATTTTAAATCACTGAGGTTTCAGATTTTTAGTTGGGCAGAGTGACTTAAAATGCTGAGAGTGAGTCAAAATGTTTTTAAATCACTGAGGTGATAAACGTCTACTTACCTTTATTGTTATGCGTTCAATAATGTCATTTTTAAACGTCAAAATGGAATAAAATAATAAACAAAATAGGTACCTTTCGATTGAAACGTGTTAAATAAAACATGATGCGAAATTGTAATTGAATGTTTTAGAACATTTAAAGTTTTAATTATTAATGGCCATCGCTAACCTTTTCAATTAAAAAATTAACTACATTGTTTTTATCAAATTGATGTAACAGTTGAAAATTACATGAATTTTGCATTATTTAATTAACCAAAACCTATTCAGTTGATAGACTTTGATATTGAATGCAATCTATAAGCAACTTTCTCACACAAAAAGCATGTCAAATAAAGAAAAAAATGAAGACCTGGACGATTTAGATGAAGAAGATGAAATTCAAAAACATCACGTATTAAAGTGGTATCCTCTGTTCCAGTACTCTGTGATAGGAGCCCTATTCTCGTGCCTAAACCTAACCCACGTTATGTTGTTTGTTACAGAAATCAAACCTACTAATGCAACTGTTCAAGAGAACATTGTCCAGGAAACTCTGGACAAGCTTCAGAAAGAAACTAACATGGATCAATGGGTTCTGGTTACCATCTTGATTGGTAAGTACTAATCAATTGTCAAATTGTTCTAAATTATATTTTATTTTTTAGCTGTCTGTGCAGTTATTTTGGGAATATGTTTCTGCTGCATAAGAAGATGCTTCAGGAAGAGAAGATCAAAGGACAAAAAGGGAATGAAGGGTGCAGATTTGAAATCGATAAATCTGCTAGGGTCATCATACAAAGAACAAGTACGTAAAGCTGATTATTATTTTTAAAAATGTGAAACTCACTATTTTCAGGTACAGCCCGACATGGACGAATTGACTGCGAATGCTGAAGAACCCGACGAAGCTGAGAAACCTGAAGTGCAAAAACTTGGAAAGCTGCAATTCAAGGTATGAATTATTGTGATTTGCTTATTAAAAATGCTAATTATTGTTTTTTATTGTTTTTATTTGGAAATATATTTTGTTTGGTTTTATAATTATTATTCTGGAAAATATTTTTTACCACATCTTCCGGGTACAATCCGGAAACACCCGATCATAAATTATATTCCCAGCCACGTGAAAAGCGAACATTCCAAGTCCAACGTGCCATCCTCTGAATAAGCACATCAAAACGCGCCAACGTAAGGGTTTATATACCTTTTCGTCAAAGCGCCACACTTCATTACGTATCCAGGGGTCTTTCAAACCTTTGGCAGCCAGAGCTTTTTGGAGTTGCACAAGTGTCGGAACATCAGAAACTTTGTAAATTCGATAATCCGGTATGGTGTAGGGTGACTGGTGACTGTGCCCGACCATATTTTGATGAGCGAATGATTTTTTTTTATTTTATTTTTTTTGATTTTCTTATGATGATAATTATGGAGATGACAACTACTGACAAAATTGTCGACTTATGACAATAATGACATAATGACAATTTTGATTCCAGAGTTGGAGCATACTCTGATTAGTCCAGGAGGCAGTGCAATTTTTTAGTACTTATTTTCATAACTTCCATAAGCATTTCTAACTTTAATGAGTGCTGTTGCTAGGAATACCATCTCATCTTGTCGGCTGATATGGCTTGTTATTGTTTCGGTTCTTCGATCATTTCTGGACGCTGATTTTCTGGACTGTTGTGGTCGAAACGAATCGATGTGTGAGTATGTATGATGCTGGTTATTGCAAATACGGCAATTCATTGACGAATTGCATTTGGATTTGTTGTAATGGTCCGAGCAGTTTGAACATGTTTTTTTTTTCTTTGGCAGCTTTTAGCCGAAGTTTTGATGATAAGGCTTTGAGTTTTGGGCATTGGTAAATCATGTGGGCTTCATTGCAGTACTTGCAAGCATCAGTACTTCTGGCTTTGTCATTATTTTTTGAGTTGGGGCAAATTTTCTTCTGTGTGTCTGAAATTGCTTCAAATGATTCGAATCCTGCTTGAAGAAATTTCCTTATTCCAACAAATTCCCGTATTTCATGGGGCTTGCTTAGCGATTGTTCATAGAGCTTGTTGGTTTCATGATCCCATTTTCGGCAGATGATGCGACTGATAATAGAACCCCAATTGGAAGTATCGATACATAGATTATTGATGGCTTCAAGACATTCCACAACTGTATCGTGAAGCTGTTTAATCTTGAATGATGATTCGTGATTAATCACTGGAAGATCTAAGATCCTATCTAGTAGTTTGGAGACTATAAGTCTGTTGTTGCTGTATCTGTCATTGAGATTGAGAATATTTCAAGCAGGGCCATAGTTGGTTTCTGCTATAAACAGGTGCTGGATCAGTCTTCCAGCTTCCCCTCTCACATGCGTTTCAAGATACTGCATTTTCTCTATTGTCGTAATTGTTGGATTTTCATGAACCACTTTGATATAAATTTCGTGAAATGTGGCCCACTCTTCATATTGACAAAAATTGGTAGTTTGATTTGAGATAATGTTATATTGCATTGTTTCACAACTTATTCTACTACTTGTCCTGGAGGTTTTATACTGTTTTTTCGTACCGCTTTTCAAGGTCTTGAATGGGATTTTTGATAGTTCTGTCAATTCCCTGAACCTGAAGATCGATGTATTTTTCAGTGATAACGTCCCATTGCTTGGATAGCTTCTCTAATAGAAACTGGTAACGGTTGCGAGTATGCTCACTGATCAGGTCGTTTGAGATGTCCCTCAAGGCTATAATTTGTTTATGGTTTTTTTTCAATGTTTTCCCAAATGGTCTCAAGTTTGGCAGTTTTTCTGAGAAAATATTGTTCAGTTTTTCTCTCATGAGGGTCGTTTTTGTAATTGGAAAATAGGGTTTTTAACTTTTTATCCAGGGTTTCTTGTGCGTTAGCGAGTTCGTTGGCTTCTTCCATTTTGGATGCTGCCTACTGCTATTGGTTATCTGTTCCTTTTTTCTCCTCTTTGTGTAGGTATGTCCCGGCTTCTTCTTATTACTTTGACTTCAGGACCTGGTGTTTTTTGTCTCCTTTTTTGTTGCTGTCTGCTGCTATCTGAACCGATTTTTTTGTTCTTTCCTGTTGAGAATGGGATGCTGCAACCAGACAAGGCACTTGCTATAGCGGGAAGGAATGTATGTGTGCTTTAGACCGCTGTCTAAGCAGTAACCCCGAAGGGCGTGAGTGTATGTGTATATTTGATTATTATAAGATGTAGGAAGGAGTGTATAGCCAGACAAGGCACTTGCTATACTGGGAACGGGATACTGTAACCAGACAAGGCACTTGCTACAGCAAAGAAAGGATGTAGGTATTTTTGTGTGGGTGTTTAGACCGGTGTCTTAACATTAACTCCGAAGGGCGCGAGTGTATGTGTGTGGGTTAAAGAATAGGAATAAAGGGAGGACTGTTGGGAAGGGCTGGTTTTCATCCTTTATCTTCTTTTTGCTCGAAGGACCAATGTAAATTCCTGATATTGGAATTCAGGTGGATGCTCAGAACCTTTGGTAGTTTGTTGTTTGTGGTTTGTAGATTGGGTTAGTACACCAGGGAAGTTTGGTAACTGGGGAGTAAGAACCACTGTTGGATTCATATTTATTATTAAACAATCAACAACTATTTATATACAAAAAATGCAGCTTTAACAAACATCATGAACGATAGTAAATAATTAAAAAGAATAATTCGCTGACAAAATCTGTTGTGTGCTCCACATTGGAAGATTTGGTAATTAAACTTTTGATGACGCTGCGTCTGCCATCTGCCGTCTGGTATAGATCGTAGAGTGATAAACCTATGAATACTTTGAATTGATGTTTTTTGTTCCTGCTTCGAGTTTTGTTCTGAAATAGCTTTTTCCTTTAAATGCCACAATGTTTTTCATAAGAGCTATCGATCAAGACTCAACCAATGTGGCGTAATAATTAAGGATAACCTAATACTGTGTTCTGCTGAGTGCTCGAATCTAGCAAGTGATTCGGACTCTGACATGATATTAAGCTTGAAGCAAATAATTACCGAGCTTAAAACTGAAATTTATGACAAAACAAACTACATGGATAGATTGAAATAGGACAAGCATACTCTATTAGAAGAGGCAGAATCTTCAAAAGATCAACTGGTTCGCGAAATAATGCCCTTTAACAAAAACTAGCTCAGTTGACACAACAATCATTAAAGCAAAACACCTACACATCAAAGAACTTAACTTCTTCATAAACTCAAACTTCTATTCCAAGACAAATCCTGTTTCAAGATAACTCAGCTCAGACTAATTCTCACCTAACTAGCAAATCTGATGAGAAACAAAAAGCCCTCATAAATGAAATAGCCGATCTCACAAATCTCAATAAACAAATGGTTACTACAATGGAGGCCCTAGATAGTGAGAACCTATTCCTCTCGAACGAGTTAAAAAATCTAAAAGAACAGCTTACTAGTACCTATGGTTCTCCCAGGAAGCTGAACGCAGCATCCTCCTCAAACAAATGGTGTACTTGAAAGATCTCTGTTTGACGAACTATCGGTCATAGATCGGCAAATAAATGAAATTGCTTGCTCTATAATAGCAGAGTATACTCCTCTACCTATACATGGTACAGCCTGTCCCAAGAGAAAAAACAACATCTTGGTTTTGGTGACGAAAGTTTAAGGGGTGTGGCTGGTGGACTACCTGACTTGACCAATGAATACTTGATCTATGAAGAATGTCATCCTGCTATTGGAATTTCCCAGATGGCAGGCAAGCTCTTCAATTTAACAGTGGGATTTAATAGTATGGATAATGTTATAGTACCTATAAACCTAAGTTGGTTGGTTTTCTTAAATTATTTCATTTAAAAAAATTGTTTTCTATTGGTAAATACACTAACTCAATTTTTTCTTTGATATACCTATTCAAATTAGGAATACAACAAATATGTAAGGTTTGTTTTGCTTTTGTCAAAACTTTCTTAAATGCCAAAATGCATCAATTAGAATTCTAGCTAATAATAAAGTAAATGGGAAATTTCGACTGTCAAGGCTGTCTTTTTTAAAGAATATTTTGTGTTACGTAATGAATAGAAGTATTTTAAAACGCATTTTCACAGTTTCTAACACAAAGTATTGTGTTACTGACGATTCAGCTATCATAAACAGTCGAAAATTGCCAAGTACTGAACCAGGTTCTTTTTTAGATTAAGAAACTCCGACAAGAGCATATCTTTGTTGCTTTTAAATGTTCAATCTGTTCGTAACAAGGTTGATAATCTGTTTGTTGTTTTGAAGGGCTTAGTCTTTCCTACCATTGTTTTATTGAAGGAGCATTGGCTTAGGCCTGAGGAACCACTGTATATTCCGGGTTATTTTATTATTTCGAAGTTCTGTAGAGAGAGCTCCTTGCATGGTGGTACCGTTTCCTTGGTAGATGACTGTATTTTTGATAGTTTCCCTAATTTTATTAATCTTGATAAGTTGCTGGTTGAAATGCAATTTGAATTTTCTATTATTCATTCCGAAACCGAAAAATTAATAGTTATTTATGATATAAGTGTTAAAAGTACATTTTTAAGGCACGCATGTGAAAGTTTACAGAATGAGCGAAGCGAATTCTGCAATTCATATAAGTGCCTTAAAAATACTTTTAACACAAATATCATACAATATTTTTTCTACAAACGGAAATAAAAAGCAATAACCAGTAACAAATTGGATTTTGAAATGAATAATAAATTGGAAGCACCTTTCCTACATAAAATTATTGAATTTGACATTTGTCAAGTCCAAACAACCAGCACCTTGTTTTACAGGTAATGAAATGTCTTGTCAGTTTCTTGAAAGTCTGTCGTGGTCAGTAATGCTTTTTGCTTAAAATGCAACAAAATACAAAAGAAAAAGGGGGTTGCATTGAAAAATATAGATGAGGCGGCCAATCGGGCTACCTCAGTTGTTCAAATTTCACCATTAATA